TTTAAATTTGTCAAAATGTCTCTGGCTATACTTTCTGGATGAGACATACTAGACATAGGAAAGGTAAAGGACCCCTGGACAGTTAAGTCCAGTCAAAGGCGACTATGGAGTGTGGTGCTCTCATCTCACTTTCAGGCTGAGGGAGCCGGTGTTTGTCCACAGAAAGTTTTCCAGGTCATGTGGCCAGTAGGACTAAACCACTTCTGGTGCATGGGGGACAGTGACGGAAGCCAGAGCCCACAGAAACGTTGTTTACCTTCCCGCTTTTTATCTACTTGCACTGGCATGCTTTTGAACTGCTAGGTTGGCAGAAGCTGGGACAGAGCAACAGGAACTCACCCCATCGTGGGGATTCGAACCGCCGACCTTCCGATTGGCAAGCCCAAGAGGCTCAGTGGTTTAGACCACAGCCCCATCCGTGTCCCTTGTTGTTTAGTCGTTTAGTCGTGTCTGACTCTTTGTGATCCCATGGACCAGAGCACGCCAGGCACTCCTGTCTTCCACTGCCTCCCGCAGTTTGGTCAAACTCATGTTCGTAGCTTCGAGAACATTGTCCCTTACATAGACATAACTGGTGGTTGAAGACTTGCTTTCCTCTTCTCAACGCCTATCCCCTTCAGCAATATATCACAGCTTCTGCAGCCTACATATAGCAGGGTATTTAAAATGAGAGTCGTCATAGCGTCCTCTTTTTTGCTCTTCAAAATATGGCAGGAGGGTGTCTTGTTCAAGGTGAGCCTTTCCTGAATAGTAATGTCTTCCTGAGCTCTGGCGTGCTTGTTGCTTCCTTGTTGTCCTTTGTTCCTGACATTTGATTTGCTCCTCGACCCTGCCTACTACTTGGCTTTGTAGTTCTAACTTGCTCTTTGAGTCTCCAAGGCTCAGACTCCAAGGCTCAGAGGTAACAAGGATGGTGGTGGTGGGGAGTTTAAGCACTTGTCTCCGCTCTGCCACAGCGCATGAGGGATTTGAATGTCTGAGCACGACTTGCGTCGTCACTGTATGAACTTGGCGCACAGACCTTAAGAGGGTGCTGTTTGTTAATTTAAAAATTGCATCAGGTATGTAAGTACATACACTTGTTCCTTAAAATTGCACCAGTATATAAGGGAGGTGTCTCCTACACTTGAATCACCAACGAGTTGGTGACTCAAGCCGTGAGGGACATAAACATGCAATTGGTTATCAGACCCCATTATTCTATGTGGCATTGGGATCGGGGAATAATCAATTTAATTTAAAAAATCACAGATTGTCATCAATTATATAAGGCACCCACATTTGTTCAATGGATAAGTTTAAACCAATATTTTTGTTTTGTCTGTGAGATGCTATAAGAACATCAAACCAGCTCCCAGATGCAGGTTACACCATATAATTAGGTGCTCTAGATAAACATTACTGTAGCAGCTGGAACAGAACAAACTTTTAAGGGACATCATGTTGATCCATTGGTAGGAATATAATTTTGACTTCAGCCAAGTAACGACGACTTGATGATAGCTTTACTCTCTTGTTTTAGTAAACAAAATTATATGCTTAGGAAATAAGTGAGATTTTTAAAGTGGGTTACTCAACTATACAGCTGTGCATTCCAGTTGGGCAAAAGTGTGGCGGGGAGGAAGGAAAGGCAGGAGGGATGTGCAAGATAATAGTTTTAATCTAATAATTCCGTTTGCTTTCACTTGGGGTGGGGAGTCTGTGGCCCTTAAGATGTCAGTGGACTCCCATCAGCCCAGCAAAACCAGAACGGCCAAAGGTTAGCCAGCCCTGGCTTACACCAATAAGGACCTGCTTGGCCTTGTTATTCATTTGCTAAATTTATATTCAGTTGATTACTTGTATTCATATAATGTATTTGCATTACATATAAATGTGTAAGCAATCTGTCATGGCCTGGCTGGAAGCAGAGGAGTGGTTGGAGGCACCAGCTGGGGAACCCCCCAAGGGAACCCCCAAGCTCAGAGCCAGGGGTTGGGTGGTGGGTCTGATGATAGAGACTATGAACAATAGCTCTGAGCAGCTTAGGGTAGTAGAGTTATCATATACCACACAATTTCTTGCTTGTCTGTTTGATGCACTTACATCACCCTTTTCTTCAAGGACCTCAAGGTGGCATACATGGTTCTCCCCCTCCTCATTTAACCCCCACGACAACCCTGTGAGATAGGCTCGGCTGAGAGGCGGTGAATGGCCCAAGGTCACCCAGTGAGCTTCATGGACGAGTGGGGATTTGAACCCTGGTCTTTCCCAGGTCCTGGTCTGACGCTCTAATTAGTCAGCATAGAATCTTGGAGTGCATCCCCAAGCTTGTGGTTTCATTCCATAGAGAAAAAGACTACTCTCAAGTGATCCCAAAATATCTCTTTGTTAAGTTAATGGGTCTCACTGTCAAGTGTATCTTTGCATGCCTAAAGAGTACAAGTCACTGGTTGCCATGGAAACTACCAGCTTCCAGAAGATGGGCTAAATCGGGCACCCACACAACTGGAGGTGATGATATTTATGAGTCTAAGAAAACAAGAGTCTGAAAGCCAATCTCCTCTTGGATTGGGAAGATATGCACAGGCTTGGCTTGTTTTCTGTGCTGATCCCAAAGCTATGGCTTTCGTCTTACACCCCACCCCTAATGCAGTTGGGGTGGAAGGAGAGTAAGAGTTATTGGAGTGCTCATGCTATGAAACTTCCACCTTTTGCTCAGCTTATATATATATATATATATATATATATATGTAAATAAAATTATATAATAGGAACATCACAGTCTCCAATGACTTTCATACCAAGGAAACCACCCTGTGTTATGTGCTTAGACCCTTGAAATATCACGCGGAGATTGTGGCGCATCTAACACCACAAAGGCAGAAAGAGGCAATGGTAATTGATTTAATTTCTGGCTGGATAATCAGGGGTAGAATACCAAATTTCCCCAGGTGCAAACAATTACAGTGGTACCTCAGGTTACATACGCTTCAGGTTACATACGCTTCAGGTTACAGACTCTGCTAACCCAGAAATAGTGCTTCAGGTTAAGAACTTTGCTTCAGAATGATAACAGAAATTGTGCTCCGGTGGCACGGCGGCAGTGGGAGGCCCCATTAGCTAAAGTGGTGCTTCAGGTTAAGAACAGTTTCAGGTTAAGAACGGACCTCCAGAATGAATTAAGTACTTAACCTGAGGTGCCACTGTACTCTTCAAGCATCCAGAAAAGGGAACCCCACAACCAAAATGCAACCTTGGGAGAGAGACATGGTGAGGTGCTTAGCCAGTGCACCAAAAAATGCACATTTATTGCCCCCTAAATTCTAAGGCTTCAAGACTGCAGAATGTTTGGGAGATGGGCTTGCAAGATCCAACATACTTCATTGCCATGTTTATGTCTCTTTTGTTCAAGTGAAATTCGGAAGGGAAAGCAGTCCAAACCTTTATGCTCAATTGTATGCTAAGGAGTAAATAAAGCATTTTCTGGGAACAGGGATATGTCTGGTAACGCTATATTTAGGGAGCATTTAAAGAAACAGAAAATAAACAGGGCCATCATTCTGCATATGTCCAATAAACACAGCTTGGTTTTGATACCTGGGGCTATATTGACTTCAGAGCATCACAGAACATAGCATTAATTCCACCTTTGCCAAGCCCCCTCCCCCTGAAAAGTGTGTAAGGCTTAAAAATAATGGATCTATCTAGCTATATATGTGTCACCTTACCTATATTTAGGAGTTCCTAGCACATGAGGACCAGACACTGCTGTGATAATAGTCGTAGTGGGTGTGCAGCAGGAAATCCATTTTTCCCCCATGGACGGAAGACTTGTCCCCACAGATGCTAAAAATGCAGAATAACTAACAAAGGAGGAAAATGCCCTTCTGAACTCCACCTGAACTTTGGTGTGTCTGCTTCATAAAAAGCAAACCTTAAAAATAATCTTGATGAATTATCTGTGCAGCCTTTTGAGACAACTGAAGAAAGGCAGGAGTGATGTGTCTGGTTGACCTGAATTCTTTTCTGGTACAAGAAACATTGTGAAGGTTGTATCCAGGTGAGCAGGCATATCACCTGGCACGCTACCTTTTGAGATTGTCTGTTGCACTGCTGAACACCTATCTTCTGAAGCAACAAAAAACAAAGTTACTTCATTATCTATGCCAGCCTTTCTCAGCCATGGGTCCCCAGATGTTATTGGACTACAACTCCCATCATCCTTGACCACTGGTCCTGCTAGCTAGGGATGATGGGAGATGTGATCCAACATCTGGGTACACAAGGTTGAGAAAGGCTGATCTTTGTGATGGTCCTTCAGATACTTGAAAAAGCTGTCTTACTGCCTCTTCATAGTCTATTGTCCAGGCGAAACATACCCAACCCATTTATCTCATCCCACTTTGTGGATAACCTTGTGGATACCATCAGTTGATATCCTTCTTAACCCTTTGAGGCAATCAATCATGTATCCTTCTTGCTGGTCTGCCTTGGTTGGAGTTTGGAGGTACATGCTGTTGTGGTTTCACCTCTACATGGTCAACCGATTTCAGAAGATGGTGCTGGGGGGCTATTACTGTGGTGTGGGTCTTGCAGGGTTTTATTCACCACTCATGCATTTTAACATCTACATGACATGGATGAAATAATATGGAGGTTTGGCATGAGGTGTCATCCATAGGCAGATGGCACCCAACTCAATTTTTCACCCATTTAAAAAAAATCCAATTCATGTGAGGTGGTGATGGTGCTAAACTAGTGCCTGGGTGTGATAATAGACTGGGTGAGGCCTACTTGAAAGAATCTCAGGTTGGTAGATGAGGAAAGACCTTCACCACCACCACCCTCTGGCCTTGGATAGCTATTGCCCATCAGTATAATCTAAAATAGACCATATTCTAACAGCATAAGGTAGATTCACATGGAAGACTCATGGCTTTTTATAAGCACTACCACTTTTGTCCCTGATGATGCCAATGCTTTGTTCCCTACCATCTCTCTACTATGTATCACTCACTGGATAGCTCAGCTGGTTAGAGCCTGCTGCTGATAACACCAAGGTTGCAGGTTCGACCCCTACACGGGACAGCTGCATATTGCAGGACGTTTGGCTAGAATGATCCTCAGGCTCCCTTCCAACTCTACAATTCTATTATTTATTTTTATTTATTTATTAAATTTGAATACCACCCTTCACCTGTGGGTGGTTCACAACGTAAAAATACAGTATAAAAACACAAAACACAAAATACAAACAATAGCAAATTGAAACAACAACCCCCAACCCCCTCCCTCATTATTTCATGGTCTTCAATGAAAGCCAGCAGGTGAACAGGAATAGAGCAAGATAGCTTTGCCATATTATTCTGAGACAGGACAAAAAGCGAGGTTGTCACGTGGAAGTGCCACACTTTGTCATTCATTATTATTTCACACCTGAGGCAGTATTTGTTTTCCACCCCCCATCTCAAACACTGATGTGTCTTGGGACAGTCATATGAGGTTGTCTTAGATGGAACAAAATAAAAAAAAATCCTTCCAGTACCACCTTAGAAACCAACTAAGTTTGTTATTGGTATGAGCTTTCGTGTTCATGCACACTTCTTCAGATACCTATGCACACGAAAGCTCAGACCAATAACAAACTTAGTTGGTCTCTAAGGTGCCACTGGACAATTTTTTTTATTTTGTTTCGACTACTATGGCAGATCAACACGGTTACCTACCTGTAATTAGATTGAGCAAGTTACTGGTTCATTTAGTACTCTATCAGGGGCATGCAACCTGAGGCCTGGGAACTGACTGTGGCCTTCCAGGCATTTCTATGTGGCCCTCAGAAATCTCCTCAGGCCACATCCCACACTGGTCCTGTCTCCCACCCTCCTCAAGTGTTTTCGCCGGTGACCTTGAACTTAATAATGCTTCTCGCTTATCTGGATGCAGGATCGATGTGGGAGCATGTGTCTAGTTGAAATGTACACAAGTGGTCAAAATTGTGGAAACTTTCGGAAAAAGTGTATTTCCGAGGTTTGATGGCTCATAACACCACTTTTTTTTTGGAGTAATACCATAAAAATTATATATCAATGGAAAGATAATTTTGTGAAGAATGTAATGCAATAACCTTTATGAAGGATTATTTATTACAACAGCAGTCGTAAAGAAGAAACATGAAACACATATAAAAATGAACGCCTTCCCATGGAGTGAACCAAGTTTTTTAGTTCTGCAGCTGTAACAATGTAAAACCAAGATTGAATTATTACCACTATTAACTGGGTTTTGTTGCTGGTTTGCTTCTTTCCATTGATATATAAGTTTATGGTACAGTAGTACCTCAGGTTAAGAACTTAATTCGTTCTGGAGGTCCGTTCTTAACCTGAAACTGTTCTTAACCTGAGGTACCACTTTAGCTAATGGGGCCTCCCGCTGCCGCCACACGATTTCTGTTCTCATCCTGAGGTAAAGTTTTTAACCCGAGGTACTATTTCTGGGTTAGCAGAGTCTGTAACCTGAAGCGTCTGTAACCTGAGGTACCACTGTATTACTAAAAAAAAAAAGTGGTGTTATGAGCCACCAAACCTCGGAAATACACTTTCTCTAAAAGGTTTCCACAATTTTGGCCACTAGTGTACACTTCTTGTTGGGCCTTGACTCGGGCCCCATCCACCACCAGCCAGTGGCCCTCAAATGGTTCCCTGGAATGGAATGTGGCCCTCAGCATAAAAAGCGTCTTCTACCCCTGCCTCACATTGTCTTTTCAGAGAAGCAGTAGCTCTCCAGGGTCTGAAGGAGACTTCTTTTTTTTTTAAAGTATTGCTTCCTGAGATACTTTTAGTCAGAAAGATTGGACATTGGGGCCACCCTGAGGGCGCTTCGCATAAACCACTTCTCCCTTTGTTTCTGAGGAAACTGTCAGGTTTATTCCATTGCCTGAGGTGCTTGTAGCAGCCTGTTTGTGGCCATTTCTCACCCCAGGCCCACGAGACTCTTCACGACAATCCAATCGAAAGAAAAGATGAAAATCGTAGAGTCCCTTTCCCCCCAATCCAACACTTTTTCTCTCTCCCCCTCAACAACTCTTCTCCCACATCTCCAGTAAATGTCACTTCTCACTAAAGACATCCATTCTTTTGCTAGACAGTCTTTTAAAAACTCCCTGCAGATTAGACAGTGCCGTTTGGGGAGAAAGCAAGTCTAATGTCTTGTGACAATGAATCAATATGGATTTGATTAAAGCTTTCAGAAAGGCATCTCGAAGCATCTGCACTGCGTGATGCATTCAGGGTTAAGCCGATGGCTTTTTATATCCCTCCGTCCTGCACTCTCCCCGGGAAATGGCAGGAATGGATTCGATGCCATCTCGGAAAACTCCAAGATCAGCACTTTAAGAAAGAATTGAGCCATGCGCAGAGCAGTAATTCAGAACACCCCGAGAGAAACATTGTACCAGGTAAGTGGGTGTAGGTTTGCAGAATAAACCTATAAATAAGTATAAGTAAGTTAGGGTTTAGGGCCATTACCTATGGTTTTCCCAGTAGTGATGTATGGAAGTGAGAGCTGGACCATAAAGAAGGCTGATCGCCAAAGAATTGATGCTTTTGAATTATGGTGCTGGAGGAGACTCTTGAGAGTCCCATGGACTGCAAGAAGATCAAACCTATCCATTCTTAAGGAAATCAGCCCTGAGTGCTCACTAGAAGGACAGATCCTGAAGCTGAGACTCCAATACTTTGGCCACCTCATGAGAAGAGAAGACTCCCTGGAAAAGACCCTGATGTTGGGAAAGATGGAGGGCACAAGGAGAAGGGGACGACAGAGGATGAGATGGTTGGATAGTGTTCTCGAAGCTACCAGCATGAGTTTGACCAAACTGCAGGAGGCAGTGGAAGACAGCAGTGCCTGGCGTGCTCTGGTCCATGGGGTCACAAAGAGTCGGACACGACTAAACAACAAGAAAGGGCCATTACCTGATAGGGAACCAACATGTATTAGGGGCATTTTATAGGTAGTGTCATCTGCTTCCTTTTTTGCATTTATAATTGAATTTATCAAATTCACACTTTCTGAAACAAGAACCAAAACACAGCTATCTTTTGAAAATTGTGCTTATCTGACTCGTGTGATGTAGTTCTCCGATCCGAGTTTACAAAAACACATATATTAGGGGAAGGTGTGCGTGAAAATGAACGTATTTGTGAAAAGAACATAAAAATGCACTATGGTTGGGAAATTGCTTGCAAAAATGTGTACATTAGCAAAAAGTGTATATACAATGGGCTTGATGGAACAATGGTCTAATTCTGTGCAGGGCATATTCACATGCTCGTAACTGTTGCAGTAAAGAGGGTCAGAAGTTGCAGAACCACAGATATCTCTGAGTGAGGAACTGGTGGAAGTGAAACAGTGTGTAATTTAAGGGTTAAATCTGTTATCAGTATGTCAGCTAGGCAGGGTATACACGGAGGTGTCACTTATCAAGCAGACTTGTGTGATCTCTACTGAGAAAACACATATGCTAATTGGCTGTGTAGTTCTGAGGGAGTTCCCCCCTGTATACTTGGTTGAATATCTCGCTGCTCTGTACAAGGCCTGAAGTCAGCAAGACAAAACCTCTCACTCTGTTTCTCCTCAAATTATAGACTCTTTACTATCCAGTTTCCTTAAGAAAATATTATCAGGGGGTCTTCTTTCTCTGGAATATCCTTGCATTATTTACGTGACTGTGCTGACAGTGATTTACTCCAACGAAGTTTGAGGACAGATTGCAACTTCTTAAAACTTCTGCCCACCGTCTCACCTCAATTGCCTGAAGAGAGGCATTCCTCCTCTGTTCCATAGCCTCTCACCTGAGCCAGTGGCCTGGTGAGCTATTGTGGAAGGCCTTTGGTTCCTCAGTCTTAAGGAAAGACGGCTGTTAGGGTGCAGGCTCGGGTATGGGAGGTTCTTCTGAGCTGAAGTCTTGAGACCACATAACACTGGTCTTGAAAGACCTACATTGGCTCCCAGTGCCTTTCTGAGCAGAATTCAAAGTGTTGGTGCCGTCCTTTAAAGCCCTAAACAGCCTCGGTCCACTATACCTGAAGGAGTGTCTCCACCCTCATTGTTCAATCTGGACACTGAGGTCCAGCTCTGAGGGCCTTCTGGTGATTCCCTCACTGCGAGAAGCGAGGTTACAGGGAACCAGGCAGAGGGTCTTCTCGGTAGTGGCCCCCGCCCTGTAGAATGCCCTCTCACCAGATGTCAAGGAGATAACTTTCTGAAGGCAGCCCTGTTTAGGGAAGTTTTTAATGACTGATGTTTTAATGTACTTTTAATCTTTTGTTGGAAACCACCCAGAATTGCTGGGGAGACCCAGCCTGATGGGTGGAATATAAATAATAAATTATTATTATTGACATTAACTTAGCTGTGGTTCCTGCATTGCAGGGGGTTGGACTAGATGACCCTTGCAACTCTCCACTTCTGTGTGAACGGCCCAAAAGACCACACAAGTCATATTATTATGGAAAAAAATGGTTTATAAAACATGATCAACATCCAACCTGGAAATCCACCTTTTTAAATATGGTACATTCATCTTCTAAAACAATACTTCATATACAGCGTGTTTATGATATATTTCCACCATATAACATTATTTTTTAAAAAATGAGCTGAATTAGGAAATTACATCCACGAGACCTCTCAACCTATACAGACGAACCTAAGAAACAATCTTTAAAAATCCACAGAATAAGAAGGAAGGATGGGTCCAATATGAAACATCACATATGTGCAGCTTATAAATACACCTCCTCATTCCCTTTAGCTTGAAAATAGACAGTGTACAATCCATTCCTTTTTCTTTCTCTCTCTCCTTTGAGGGTGGAAACAGATGAAAAGCTTCCTAACACTGCAATTCGGTCAGCATTAAAAGTTGGCCCACGACAATCTATGCAATGATTGTTGCAGGGCCGGCCAATGCAATACCATCCAGTTGTTTTGAACTACAACTCCCATCACCCCCGGCAAACATGCCCAATGATCAGGGGTGATGGGAACTGCAGTCCACAACAGCAGGAGGTCACCCCTGCCTTACTGTGTCCCTGCTCAGTTGAGCACCCCATTGTTCTACACCTGGTACCAGGGCCGTCTTACCCATAGGCGCTAGGGGTGCGAGGCACCCGGGTGCTGGACTCTCAGGGGTGCCAGGCTGAGAGTCCGGGGCCCGAGAGTTGAGTCTGGGGAAGAGACGGCCCGTCAGTTGGAGCGCCGCGGTGGGCTCTTCTGTTGCCGTGAGTTCGGGGGTAACCAATCCAGCGAGACGCTGAGGTGGCCAGCTGGCTCCGCTCTCCTGCACGCCTGGGACTGGGCAACCAGGGGGAGGGGTGCCACGCGGATCTTTGCACCCCGGCACCGCATATACTTAAGACAGCCCTGCCTTTTACACAGAGGCACTATTTTCAATTTTGTTAAAAAGAACCAAGTATTTTACTCAGGGAGAGGGTAAGGTTTGCAGCATGGTTCAAAGGCTGACTTTTGTCAATATTTATTATTATTATTATTAACCCCCAAACCCCACAAATAAACCCCAAACACACAACTTTTCAAAGGTCCATTTTAAGAATTTTTGGGGCCCGGGGCAGATTCATATCCACTATGTGTGAGCACTTGCACCTAGGAGAAGGGGGGAAATCCTTTGGATGGCAATATTTCATACCTAGGAAATAGGCCCTGCTGAATCAGACCAATGGCCCATCAAGTCCAGGATCCTGTTCTCACAGCGGCCACCCAAATGCTTGTGGGAAATCCACAAGCAGGATAGGAGTACAGGGTTACTCACCCTTCCTGTGGTTTCCAACAACTGGTATTTGGAAGCATTTTTAATTTAGTTTAGGGGAAAGATGGTTGGTGTGTGTGTGTGTGTGTGTGTGTGTGTGTGTGTGTGTGGATGTGTTAGAGCAGGCTTTCTCAACCTGTGGGTCCCCAGTTGTTGTTGAACTACAACTCCCATCACCCCTAGCTAGCAAGGCCAGAGCTCAGGGATGATGGGAGTTGTAGTCCAACAACATCTGGGGACCCACAGGTTGAGAACTGCTGCATTAGAGGTTGGGAAGGGAGGTTTTTTGGGGGGCAGGGAGGCTAATGTGGAGCTGCCACTTGAAGAGGGAGCTAAAAAGCTCTTGTGCGTGAGTCAAGCAGCGCCTCACACTGCTTTGGATCCTGCTCTGTACCAGAGATAGGGGTGTTCCTGAGAAATAATCTGAAACTCAAGCTCTATATAGGCACTGGGGGAAAAAGGCACAAGACTGCAAACTGGGGTGGGTACATTGGCGCCGCAAACACAGGCCTCTGCATCTTGCTTTTGTGTGTTGAGTGTGAAGGCCTGAAGGAGAACTGGGTTCGAATCTTGCACAACCCTAGTTCCCAGTGCCGGGGAGGACCCTACTAAGCATGTTCAAGAGGACATACTTCAGAGTTCCTATCGGGGGTTCATGCTCACCATGCAAAGGCCAGGAGTGAAGGGGATGTTGGCATGGGTGTGAACATTGGCCTTGCATCACCTACAACGGGGGTCGACCTGCAGATTCTGTGGACCACAGCTCCCATCATCCCTGGTGCTGTGCTTGATGGGGTGATGGGAATGTACTGTATTTTTCGCTCCATAAGATACACTTTTTTCTTCCTAAAAGGTAAAGGGAAATGTCTGTGCGTCTTATAGAGCAAATGCGTGGTCCCTGGAGCCGAATTGCCCAGGGGCGAAAAGCAGATCATTTTTTTTTCCAAAGCAAAAAACTGCTCCAGCTAAGGAAAAGACACTAAGGTAAACAAGAGGGAAGGGAGTATTGAAAGGAAGCAGCTGATCGGCAAGGGATCGGGGAGGGAGATAAGGGATGCTAGAGATAAAGGAGGCTGCCTGGGAGGGAGGAGGTAAAAGCCCATGGATCCTCAGGATTTTTGCATTGGGTCACCCCAAATTCACCATCAGATCACATAGCACGTCCATGGCTACAGCCTGCACCAAAAAAATCATGCACCCACTGTTGTGTGGGGCAACAATGGTGCAAAAACACAAATCCACTAGGTGTGTCTTATGGTCAGGTGCGTCTTAAGGAGTGAAAAATATGGTAGTTCAAAGCATAACCAAAGCATAACCAGGCTGGCTAGACTTGCCCTGCTCAGTTGGTGCCCTCAAACACTCTTTTGAGCATCTGAGTAAGAACTATGTTGGGGGAGCGAGCGGAAGAGCAGCTGCCCCCAGGAAATGATACCCTTGTTCCCCACTCCACCCCACAGATTCACCATATGGGATGCTGCGGTGCTGACCTCTCAGCAAGTGCGTTATCTGTTTCTACCCTTAATCTCAAACTGTGGCCATTCAAGTTAATAAATATGTACAACATTCTGGAGTTCAGTGAATATAAATAGCAAATATTTGTTCTGGTATTTCTCTGCACATCGGTTTGATTTCACTGGAAATCTTGGACGTCCTAAGATTCCAGATCAGGAGCTTAATGTAACAACAACAAAAATATTATTATTATTATTATTTTAAAATGATCTAGGATAGCTCTGACCTATCCCAGTCAGATGTATAAATATAAATAAGCATAATATAGAAAAAACATTCCCCCTCCCAATCCACATACAAAAATGTAATCGTTATTGCTAGCAGCAAGTGGAGTATGAAATATTGGATAGCTAAAACTATGCGCGCCTCACTTTCACCAAATGGATCTGGTTTCCGAGCATTTCTAAGAAAAGCTTCTGGTATAATTTGTACATCGAGAGGCTGTGGAGGAACTTGACCACCTTCCGGAGGCCTTGGATCGTCGTCTTGGGGAAATGGTATGTTTTCAAATGCTTCAGCCCATACGTCAAGCCCTTGATGGTGTCTTGGTCTCTATTTTTTACTCTCCACAAGCTGAGAAGCCTGAGAATCGGCTCGGAAGATTTGCACAGCCTCAGAATACGGTCGACTTCTTCCTTCCCCACTTTCTTCCCTGGCAAATTTTCCATCAGGATGCTGAGCTGCTCAAAGGTGATGTTGAGGTGGCCAATGTGTTTTGAGACACTGTTTTCACAGTGGTCAATGCCTACGAAAGACAAATAGAGAAGGTGGTTTGTTTCGTGGACTAACAGGATCGTAGAGTTGGAAGGGAGCCCAACCCTCTGCAATACAGGAATCTCAGCCAAAGCATCCATGACAGATGGCCATCCAACCTCTGCTTAAAAACCTCCAAGGAAGAAGAGTTCATAAATAAATGTGAGCCTGCTCAGTGTATGCATACACCGCTCTGCTTGTATACTGGCCTTACCTTGCTTAATGTTCTTGACCGCAGTGTGGTCATTGTTCTGCTCCTTCCATAATTTCAGTAGCTGAAAGGTCTGTTCCTGAGGACTGTGCCTTTGTTTGAGCCTTTCTGTAGTTTCTGTGTTGACCTTTATACCTGGCAGACTATCCCTTAGCATGTTCAGCCAGTTGGGCGTGAGTTTTGTTGGAACGGCAAACCTGAAGAATGCTTCCTCACATAAGGTCACATCTAAAGAAGAAGAAGAAGAAGTGTATTGATCTTTCAAAGTCTGCCTGGTCTGGATCAGCCATCCAAACATTGCACCTGTGCCTTTTTGAAAAGCATAAAAAATCCCCAGTATTGCTCTACCAAGGCTGCAGTCCTCTGCATGCTTACTTGGATGTAAACCCTATTGAACACAATGAGACTTGCTTCCTGAGTAAATAAGCCTGGATTCTGTGAAACTACACTTTGACCTGTGTTATTTATTCATTAAATTTATATGCTACCTTTTCCTCTAAGGACCTCAAGGTGGCGTAAATGGTTCCCTCTTTCCTCATTTAATCCCCATAACAACCCTGTGAGGTAGGCTCGGGTGAGAGATGGTCCATAGCTGTCAACTGTTCCCTTTTCTTGCGAGGAATCCTATTTGGAATAAGGGAATTTCCCTTAAAAAAAGGGAAACGTTGACAGCTATGATGGTGACTGGCCCAAGGGCACCCAGTGAACTTCATGGCATGGGGCGATTTGAACCCTGGTCTCTCCCTGGTCCTGGTCCGACACTCTCATTAGTCTGCATAGAATCTTGGGGGTGCACCCCCAAGCTTGTGGCTTCATTCTGTAGAAAAAGACTGCTCAAGCGGCCCAAAACTTTTTGTTAAGTTAATGGCTCAGGTGTATCTCTGCATGACTAAAGAGTACAAGCGACTGGTTGCTATGGAAACTACCAGCTGGAGGTACTTTCCAGAGTTGGAGTCAAGCAACGCCTAGGGACCCAAAGATTCACTATCATAAGCTAATGAAATGCTTTCAGAAGTGTCACTCTGGATGAGGAGCAGAGCTGGTACACTAGCTTCACAACCGGAGGATTGCTGTTGTTTACCAGAAAGGATGAGCGAGGCGAAAAGAGGATTAGACGAATTCATGGAAGAGAGGGCTTTTGATGGCTACTAGGCATGATGGCTATGATCTGCCTCAAGAGTTGGAGGCAGCCATGCTTCTGAATATCAGTTGCTGGTATTCAGCGTAAGTAGGGGAGTTCTATTTTACACAGGCCCTGCTTGGGGGTTTCCTACAGGTATTGGGCTGGCCACTGTGGGAATAGGATGTTGGACTAGATGGGCTGTTGGCTGGATCCAGCAGGCTCGTCTTATGTTCTTATGGTGGTGGGAAGGTTGGCGCAGTGCAAACACACTGGAAGAATCAATCCAGTGTTCCTGCCAGTGTGTTTGCACCATTCCAGCTTCAGCTCTTCTGCATTCCCTTGGGTTAAGCAATGGTGACCCACCTGCTGGGAAGGTTGTGTAGCAGTTCTGCCCCACCCAGCAAGCTACATAGAGAACAACTTCTATTTCACATCAGTCAGCTGAAAACTATTTGTTGCTTTGAAGCACAAAACTTAACTAGTAGAAATACAACAACTGGTAAACTGGCACGTACCGATTCCACACTTCTGATCTGATCTGTCGCTTTTTTCTCCCTGGCAAACATTGTCACGTGTGGCGTCTCCCTTGCGCACCATTTTGAGACCCAGCGCGCTGCAGTTGGTGTGCTTTTGACAAGCTTCCTTGGATGACGTTTCATTGGAGAAATAGCCTTCTGGGCATCTCTCGCAAACCGTGTCACTTTCAGGGGTACCTTGGGACAAAAGAAAGAGACAATAAATACGCTTGGCAATCACTTTGTATACAGCACTTCAGGGGCTTCTTATATATATGGTGAAAGGCAGCATGAAAGACTGAGCGGAAAAGCAATCAGATAAGTGCCTGATTTGTGTGTTCCCAAAGATTCTCTTTCAAAGGGGGAAGCTCATTTCCCAGGACAGCTTCGCCAATTAATGTTTTAAATCTCATCTGCTTTGTTTTTGTAAATGGCACATTCAGAAGTCTCACATGGGACAGTGCATGCCCCAAGGCACTGAGCCACTTTCAAATGTAGGTGGAAGAACGCATTATCTATCGAACTGTAGAGCTGGAAGGGATCTTGAGGGTCATCTAGGCCAGCATTTCCCAACCTTGCGCCTCCAGCTGTTTTTGGACTACAACTCCCATAATCCTCAGCTAGCAAGACCAGTGGTCAGGGATGATGGGAATTGTAGTTCGAAAACAGCTGGAGGCCCAAGGTTGGGAAACACTGATCTAGGCTAACCCCATGCAATGCAAGAATCATAGCTAAAGAATCCTGGACAGACAGCCGTTCAACCTCTGTTTGAAAACCTCCAATGACAGACAGTCCATCTTCCGAGGGAGAACAGCTCTTATTGCCAAAACGTACTTCCTAATGTTAGAAAGTTCTTCCTAATGTGATTTCTTCAAGTCTAAAGCTCCCTACATATTTAAAACTAGCCCATTAGGCAGTTTTTAAATGTGGAATATTCAGATATGGAATCTGGACAAGGAAAAGGTTCACATGGAACTTGGTTGGTGCAACAGGACACCACATGCTGTGGGCAGGCACCCACCTTAGTTAAATGAACATGGGACTGGTGGAGATCAGTAAAAAATAAACCCTAGAAGTCCAACTCTGATACTCCAGAGCTGGTCCAAAGTCAACTCCGCTCAGACAGTTGGAAAAAGTTGCTTGGCTACTAGGTTTGATTCCTATGGACCAGCCCAGCATATACCTGCCCTGAAGCCCCATCACATCAACACACGATGAGCTGCCATTTTCTATTTCCCACAGTGACCCAGAGCAGGGCTGGCCCAAGATATTTCCGCACCTGAGGCACCCCTTCTCCAGTGAAGAATGGACGAGTGAAGGTCTGAGTCAGGAGCAAGGATAGGAGGTGGGCTGCCAAGGTGAAGGAAGCGTCAGGGCTGGCCCAAGTGAGGTGAGGTGAGGTGAGGAGACCACCTTGGGTGGTAGGATCCATAGGATCAAAAGATCCAGCCTGCAAGGAATGCAGTGGCAGCAACAGCTATGGTGCACTCCCTGGAGTCCAGATCTTCTGCCCCTGCCAGGGAGGGCACCAAGATAAGGGGCCATGGGTGGTATTTTTGCCCAAGCTCTTCTCAAACCTGGAGCAGAGCTGGCATTGCCCATGGACGATGGCATTTCTTTTCGCAAACTTTGAAGGAGTTCTTTCACCAGAGCACCGAAACCAGTGCATTAGATAACTCAATGAAATGCCTTCTTTCCCTTAAAATCTGGCTTGTCACGCTCACGTTCAATGTGGCATGCCAGCCATGTGTTATAACCTGCTGGGTGGCTTAATAAACCCAGCCTGTGCAGGCAATCTGGATTTAACTCAAATGAAGGGCTTATCAAACACCTGATGGTCTGTGGTTCGTGGCTGCAAATTGGACAGGGCTGATTTAAGCCCCTTCTGAGCAGCTTCCCATTCCGACATAAATGGCGATAGAATTAAAACAGGTGTTGCATTTTTCAAATCAAGCTGGCATTTTCTGCCTTTCCTATGTAAATGAAAGCTCTTGCTTGCACTTAGTTGATATAGATTTGAGCTAGAGTATGAAATTAGAGTTCTGTAGGTAAATTATGCTGCTGGATACACTTAAATGAGTTTCCAAAGACTTTAAAGGTAAGGAATAGCTCAGGAATGTGACACAGTGAAGAATGTGCATCGATTCTCCTCTTTGGGCCTGGCTGGATTATTGTATGTGCCCTAAAAATATGATGCTAATATTTAATAAAAAATAATTCTAAGGAATGCATATTTGATTAAACTGCTGTTGTAAAGCAATCAACACAGAAGGTGTTGTGTACGGATGAAAATATTTTTAGGATCCTGGAGAGCAAGAAAGTTGGGGTTCTGTCCTTTACTAAAAGATCTACAATGATGAATTAAATGTGCAGTTAGGGAACAAATGCTGTCATGGTTATTAAGATACATAGCTTCTCACAGAAAAGCAAGAATTGTGATCCATCCATATTCAACGAAACAGAAACTCTAGGAGTATGTCACCCTGATTGCCAGTAAATTTCTAGCCTTCAATTCTAGTGTTCACTTTTAAGCTCGTAAAGAGCATGGGTTGAGCTATAAATCAGTGGTCCCTGTGTGAGTTACCCTCTGTTCTATATTCCCTTGTCAACTGTTATGTGCAGGACCTAGCAGCAGGGCCTTTTCAGAACTGGCCCCATTTCTGTGGAATTTCTATGTCAGGGTAGTTCACAGCATTAGTCTGAATGCAGTCAATGGGTTGCATTCAATCTTCCAGGAATGGATCTAGTGCTTGCATACTCCTTCCTTCCTATGCTCCTTCCTTCCACTCTTCAACTGAAGGGCTTAACACATTAATTCCTGGTTTGATCAAACCATAGTTTGCAGTTACATCCAGACTGGCAGATTATGGTTTCAGCAAGGCCTTTGAACTAGCATTGCTTACTAGAACAAAACCGGTTTGTAATCCTGGAATGGAGGGACTGCTTAAATAACAGCCTGAAGTTTTTTTGCACAACAGGAAACAATGGATTGATCAAACCACACATGAGGGGGAGGGGAGAGCAGATGTACACGGGTCTCTTTCCCAGTCCCCAAAATGAATGAATGTATTTTGGAAGAATGCATTACATGAGCTCATGTAAATATTTTTATATTTCCTGTTTGGCATGCTGAAAGCATTTAATCCAATGTCTAAAATGTAGCTGTAGTTTAAAGTACAATTTATGAGGATTTTCACACCTCCGGGCATTCTGGAAGCCACTTTATATGCAGCTAGCTAATATTTTTGCAGCAAAAGAAATATATTAAAAACCCACACTTTGCATCTGGAACTGAAATGAAGTAGGAGACTGGTTTTCACTCCTCCTTAGCTTCACAAAATGATGAAACTAGTATGTGCCGGGCCATTTTCAAGCAGATCCATAAAGTTTCTGCACATCTTTTTGTTGTTGTTGCTAGACAAGGATTCCTTTAGTCTTTATTTTCTAGATAGTGCTCTTCGGTGGCAGTATTAATTTCCATCAATAAAGAACATGTGACCTCTTTTATCTGTCTCTCCCCCCCCTCCTGTTTTTGTTGTTAAAAATCTATCGCTGTGGTCTCTATCCTTTCTAGCAATGCACAATATTACCAGTTTGAGAATTACTGGCTGCGCGTGTGCATATATATATATATATATATATATATATATATATGCTTTTCTAGGAGTATCTATTCGCGACATTGGTAATTAATTACTGCCACACATTTGCGATGACTTTTGCTATTACACTAATATTGTTATAATTACTCTCTGGGTGCTATATCAGTCCGCACTTCTGCTGTTTGTCAAGGCGCACAGAGACTTGAAGCAGCACTCTTCCCCCATGAAAAATGTTATTAGTTATAACCCATAAATACTGCATCCCAGATAATGTCCCTGTGAATGAGGTCAATCCATCATGTTTCTCATTAGAAGGCAATTTGCTGGTGCCATTAAATTACCCATTACAGTAAGAGCAGAACATTTTGCTACTGTGAGCAACATCACTTTTGGCAGCAGTCCAGCGAGATGTTTAGGAGGACAACGGCTGTTTTTCACAGGCACTGCAATAAATTTGCGATCCATGCGTTGCCTCTGGGCGTATTCGAAAGTTGAAAGCTATGCAAGGGTCTCTATGTGAGAGCTACACAACTGTGTGTGTGTGTTTTGGTTTTGTAGTTGCACCCAGGCAGCAAAACCAGGATGCTTTGGAAAATTTTGACTAGGCTGCTGTTGGGCTACATTTGCCTTGCAATCCATGCAGGCAATTTCATAACTGTGAACCAGGGATATGGGACTTGAGGCAATTCTTGTTTGCAGCTCCCATCATCCCTGACTATCAGCTGGGGCTAACGCAGATTTCAAGTCCAACAACATCTGGAAGGCCACAGGTTCTCTATGTCTGACGTAAGCCAGCCTTGCAAAATAATAAAAAAATAAAGTCCACTAAAGTTAACAAACTACCAAACCCCCAACCCACCTTCTGTCATTCCAAAAAGCTGTACAGGAGCGCAAGCCAAGATGCCTTACTCTTTGCACCGTTGACTCAGCACGACTCCATGCACCAGTGTCCTCTTAGGGCAAGGAAGGAAAGAAGAAGATGCCGATTTGCATGGAATCTGCATAGGCTGATTCATATGCACAGCTGCAAATTTAGAATGGGTAACTGCAATTTAAATAGCAAGGCAAGGCAACTTGGTATTAGGGTTCTTCGTGTTTGCAACAGGATTTGAACGGGACAGAGGACTCCTTTAAAGAGGAGGCTGTTCTCTGAAAAGCAAGACATACGCAGTCCTCATATATGTCTACTCGACTGCTTTGATCTGGGGAACGGGCACTGTTTACAGGTGCCGCAGATTTGTTCTGCGTTTGTAAGAAACTGACCTATTCATGTTGCAGGCAGCACATGAACACTGGAACTCCCCACCAATTGACACCTTTGCTTTGCAGTTCCTGATAAAGACAGTTTTGTTCAGGCAAGCCTATCCAGGCATGTGGATGAAAGCCTGTGTGCGTTTTAGTCTGTTTTTATCTTAACTGTTAGTTTTAATTCTGTTTTGAGTTTGTTAAATCCTTGTTTGTAATTTGTCCTTTTATTCTTGTCTCTTTTTCGGTAGGCTCTATTTGCAATCAAACGGTACATGCGTCTTGTCTAATAAATAAAACCATACAGTTGTTGCCCCAGGCTTGGACTCTTAAACTGAGCAAGTTGTCTGTGAGCGAAAGTGTTAAACAGACTCCCCTCCCTTGTTTCAGCCTCTCTGTATCCTGGCCCTGCTGTCTGTCTCAGACCGCATTCATCATAGAATCATAGAGTTGGAAGAGACCACAAGGGCCATCGAGTCCAACCCCCTGCCAAGCAGGAAACACCATCAGAGCACTCCTGACATATGGTTGTCAAGCCTCTGCTTAAAGACCTCCAAAGAAGGAGACTCCACTTCCTCTGGCACTCTGGATCCTTGTTGACTTGCTCCGGATCCTGACCGCCAGCCAGATTATACCACACTGACACTGAATCCTATGCACCTCAACAGGAGTTTAGTACAGCTAAAGGTGCCCCTTTGTTTGAACCTCACAACAACCCTGTAGATCAGGTTGAGAGACTGGGACTAGCCTAAGGTCACCCAGTTAATTTCATGGCCAAGCAGGGATTTCAATCCAGCTCTCCCTGTTCCAACACAGGCTTTCACTAGCTGATCTCCCTTATATATAATGCTAGTGATCTGTGGTGCACTGAAGATCCTGGGGGGGGGGGGGAGCACATGCAAGAACCCACTGTTTCCCAGTACAGTGGTACCTCGGGTTAAGAACTTAATTCGCTCTGGAGGTCCGTTCTTAACCTGAAACTGTTCTTAACCTGAGGTACCACTATAGCTAATGGGGCCTCCTGCTGTCGCTGCACAATTTCTGTTCTCACCCTGAAGCAAAGTTCTTAACCTGAGGTACTATTTCTGGGTTAGCGGAGTCTGTAACCTGAAGCATCTGTAACCTGAAGCGTCTGTAACCCGAGGTACCACTGTATACCAAAGGGTGTGTGTGTGTAATCTTCCTGGCCTGGTTTCCTGGTGAAGTTTCTTCCTCGCCCCAGGCGAACAGGCACGAGGCCATCTCTGGGAAACAGGCACATACCTTTCTCAGCAACACCGTATCCCGGCGGACATGCTGTGTGCTTCAAGCAGAATTCCAGTTCGAGGTACCGCCCTTCGATGCACTCGCAAACACGATTCTGGGTGCTGCTGCATTCGACTTTCTCGTATTGCAGCTCCTTGCACACCACGTTGCAGTACTGGCACTCATCGTTGCTGTTCCATTCGTCTGCGTAGAACTGACCCGGGCAGGGGGCACACTCAGTCTTCGAAGAAGCCGTGCAATGCTGCTTGACGTAGGTTCCGGGGGGACACTGGTCACACAATATCTGACGGGAGGTTTCCGAGTCATAATGGAGGTACTTTGGGGGAAAGTCCTCCTGGACAGTCCATTTCACAGATATGTCCAGCAGCTAGCGGAAGAGACACAACACAGTGTTTTAGGTTACATGGTTGGCAACACACTGGTGGTATCACTGTTGCGGTTTACATTTCTCAGAGGCATTGCCCTTAAAGACGGTGCCAAACAGGTGTCAAGAGACAGAGGGACACCACTAAAAAGGCCCTGCCCCTTGTGGCCACCCTCCAAACACCCCTCAGAGAGGGAACTTGGAGTGGGTCGCATTGTTTTGAGGGCAGATATAAGGCAACTTCGAATGATGCAGTTTTATTTGTATGTATTTGTGTGTGCCATCTGGAAAACAGTCAAACAGTGAAGGATTTGCAACAAGGCAGAGATTCATGAGGGACAGGAAGTGGGCATCTTAGAAATGCTCATATACAGTACAGAATAATAATAATAATAATAATAATAATAATAATAATAATTATAATAATAATTATTTATATCCCACCCTCCCCAGCCGAAGCCGGGCTCAGGGCAGCTAACAATACATAACCTTCATCTTCCTTTCTTAACATTAATGATTAAATATTTTTTCTGCCACAGCAACTCATATAACTTACAGCACTGTTAAATGGCCTGTAATACCCTTAACAAACATTGTGATGTTGTTGCAAAGTTCTGGTTTAAAAAACTACAGTTTTCGTGTTTTCAAAAATATCCCAGGATCAACAGGGGGTTTATTGTCTCTCCTCCCCCCAGATAAAAGGATTTTGAAAGGGAAATGACATTATATTGATTTCCTTTTCTATTGGATCTTTCGCACTGATCTCCAAACGGAAGTCAAATGACATTTGAGCTCCACCCACTCGTGTGAAATAAATGTGGATTTGGATGACAATTGCAAAGACAGCCAAAGCTCCTACAGGCATCTTTCCCTTCAATCACAGCCTTGTGAAAGTAAAGAAACTAGTTTTTCAGCATACAAAAACATTATTATATGTCTTGGCTTTGGGGTTTCACGCAGACCGCAGAAGAATGTTTGGATTTACTGAAAGAAACAAATAAAGCAGCCTCTGTTTTGCATCACAAACACAACCTGGTGTCTCCTTTGCCTTTGAAAAGGACTGTCAAAGTCTGGATGGGATCCAAAGTCAAATCCCTAAACTGTGCTATTCACTGATTCAGGTAGGTAGCCATGTTGGTCTGACGCAGTCGAAATATATGTAAAAAAATAAAAATTGTCCAGTGGCACCTTAGAGACCAACTAAGTTTGTTCTTGGTATAAGCTTTCGTGTGCAAGAAGTCTGCATGCACACGAAAGCTTATACCAAGAACAATCTTAGTTGGTCTCTAAGGTTTTCCCAGTAGTGATGTATGGAAGTGAGAGCTGGACCAAAAGGAAGGCTGATCGCCGTATAATTGATACTTTTCAATTATGGTGCTGGACTCTTGAGAGTCCCATGGACTGCAAGAAGATCAAACCTATCCATTCTGAAGGAAATCAGCCCTGAGTGCTCACTGGAAGGACAGATCCTGAAACTGAGGCTCCAATACTTTGGCTACCTCATGAGAAGAGAAGACTCCCTGGAAAAGATGTTGGGAAAGATTGAGGGCACAAGGAGAAGGGGATGACAGAGGACGAGATGGTTGGACAGTGTCCTAGGAACATGAGTTTGACCAAACTGCGGGAGGCAGTGGAAGACAGGAGTGCCTGGTGTGCTCTGGTCCATGGGGCCACAAAGAGTCAGACACAACTAAATTACTAATCAAGAACAACAACAACAAGGTGCCACTGGACATTTTTTAATTTTTAAAAAAATATTTCATCTTGCTATTCACTGCTCTACATAATACAAGTGCAAATGGGGCCCAAGATCCATTGAGCCACCAATGTTTTTCCAGCAGTGGGTGACCAGTGAGATCTCAGAAGCAGGACATACAGGGCGATAGTCCTTGCCCCTGTTTGTTTGTATCCAGGATCTAGTTTTCTGATATCTGTGGCTTCTAAACCTGGATCTATTTTTCACCTGGGTTTTTGCCTTCCCCTTTCCATGCCAGCATGTTACCGAAAACCCGTGAGGGGACAGAAGCCCACCCAAAACCAATGACCCACTGGATCCTTGCTGGAAAGTGACATTTCCCCCTTCCCTGAGGGTTTATGTCTTTCCTGGGGGTTTTATGCCATTTTCCCGCCACCTTTTCCCTATGCAAGTCAATGGAGAGAGGTATTTATCTGAGGGAGAACATGCTGTGTACCTGAAAACCTGTTGTGGGGAAGCTAATCCCTACCAAAGACCCTTGGGGTAACATGTTTCTTGCTGGGAGACGAATACTGTCCTCACTTTTTCTAAGAAACCATGCTCTTTTTTCTCACACACCCTGATTCCTAATGTACCCACCCCAAAACAGTTCTCTTTGCAGGGGAACCACTGCAGCTGTCAATCTGAAACCTGTCAGGAGTCATCCCCTCAGTCAGAAGAGAGGTCCCTCTCAATTTATATTGTTTGATCTGCTAACAAGAATTGCCAGTATTTAGAGATGACTTTCAATCCTAACATCATTCTAATAATGAATTCAGTTTATGCAAACTACTGGGAAGTTGATTTCTGTTCTTCTTTTCATATTGAGTATACTGTTGTTGTTTTTAATGGGGCAGAACCCACTGAGAAATGGGGCTTATACAGGGGAACATACCCAGTGGGCTGAGTCCCATTTTTAAGAAGCAGAAAATCCCTTTGTCCTAAGTGTTTCTATATGATTGGCAACAGTAACTCACTGAATACATGATCTACCGAATGCTCACATGAAGCAAAGCTGACAGATAACAGGAAGCATTCACAGTTATCTGATCAGCTGTAGCTCCACGTTGCACAACTTCTAGGTAACATCAAACATCACTTGGGTTGATTAGTCACAAGGCAAACTATTCTCAGCTATGAGATCACTTTTAAAATATATTTGTAAGGTTGTAATCAGTGCTAATCACACTCAGAGAAGACCCTTGATGTTGATGGACACAATTCACTTAGGTCTGTTGATTTCAATGGGTTTACTCAGATTATAACCTACTTGACTACTGCCCATAGATTTTGGATTCTTAGCTTTCCCAGAGTGGGGCATAAATAAATGTCTCCCTAATGTACATCTGAGAGAAGGTAAATCAGAGAAAAGGGTAAAGGAGATTGCAAAAATAACAGACATTCCAACCCATTGATTTTGGGGCACACCTGGCAGTGTCGATGTTCAGCGGATCTCCTTATGAGTGAAAGAGCTGTCCCATTCTCTTTAACATACATCTCCACACATGCAATGGGAGCCAGTAAGAGACATTTGCCCAGTTGAAGAGAAGAAGAGTTTGGATTTGATATCCCGCTTTATCACTACCCTAGGGAGTCTCAAAGCAGCTAACATTCTCCTCTCCCTTCTTCCCCCACAACATACACTCTGTGAAGTGAGTGAGGCTGAGAGACTTCAAAGAAGTGTGACTAGCCTAAGGTCACCCAGCAGCTGCATGTGGAGGAGTGGGGAATCAAACCCGGTTCACCAGATTACGAGTCTACCACTCTTAACCACTACACCACACTGGTTGGGCACAGAAGATTCACAAAACGTGACCGTTTGCATCAGGAGAACTGGTGGCAGAGCAGAAATTGCAATGCTCCAGAGATCTTTCTCCATACGATCATTTTATGGGAAGATTCCAGGGATTGTACCTTAAACCTTCTGCTCTGTCTGTCACCAGTACCTGTTCCACATCCAGCTACCGCCCTTAGATCATCAGAGCACCACGACAGATAATCCAGTGCTCTCTGTCTATGTGAGCCCCATATATCCATACATTTGTGCAATATATAAAATTAAACATGGTATCTGACAAACCAGTCCAGTCTCACAGATTTGCTCCTGTTCTTTCTAGCCCTCCTCTCCACAGACTGTCCTGACAATATTAAACAGATTCATAACATCTGCAGTGGCCTAAGGCTCTCTTAGGAGGGGCAGAACTAGGAGATTTAGAAGGCACCCATTTCTTGAAAAGGCAGCATATTAATTCCTTCCTCTACCCCCTACCCCAGAAGCCAGGAATGTCTCATCCCTTGTTAAAACTTTGCAGCCCACTACGATTTGAAAGCTAGCACGCTTACTGAAAGACCTGAAGAGGAAAAGTCAGCCAGCGGAGAACAGAGAATGATATCAACGCTCTGATCGTGTCAGTTCCAAAGCAATCGTCAGTCTCTGGGCAAGGACTTACCACAAGTGTGCAGCACAGGAACTTGTTCATTGTGGTTGCTTTCAAACCCTCAGGGATCTGGGAAAGCAATCAGGCAGTTAGGGAACGCTCTGGTCTCGTAGCAGCTTGCGAACACTGGCCCAGCACATTAAAAGCTCGTTTATATATATATCTGCAGCCCCATGCAACAGGAAACCCTGGCTCAGCTTTGAATACTCATTCCCTCCCCACGAGCAATTTCTTTTTGATTTTTTTTTTTTAAAAAGGAACCTGTCGATGATTTCATGCAACTCCTTTCAGCGGTATTTAACCACAAGCTGGAAAAAAAAAAGGAGGGAGTGTCAGGATCCGGGCACAGCGATGGGTTAACTAATTACTGTCTGGCAGTCACCGCCTCTGCTGTGTTACTGCCCACCCCTTTTCTGGGCAAAGAGGGGGTGTCCAAAACAAACTCACCTCCAGGACAACAAGGGGCGAGTTATTCACAGCCCGGCTGTTCTAGAAACAAAAGTATAAAAATATCCTGCTGCAACCAGCTCATCCTTAAGGTGTCTTCCCTTTTTGGTAGTAAAGTTTTTTTTTTGCTTCCGATGCCCTGAACTAGAGCTGAAACGAGCAATCCTTCTCACTTTGTGATACATGGTTTTACACTTTATCTCCTGATCCAGTTGACAATTCTATGAAGGTCCATATTTTTATTGATGCATTCAAGACATTTTTTTCAATTATGTTTGACCCTGCCATAAACCCTGTAAGGTAGCCCATTCTTAGTCCCACAGTAAAGATGGGGAAAGAGGGTTAAGACAGCTATAGCAGGTTTTCTTTGGAATTAAGTACAGTAGTACCTCGGGTTAAGTACTTAATTTCATTCTGGAGGTCTGTTCTTAACCTGAAACTGTTCTTAACCTGAAGCACCACTTTAGCTAATGGGGCCTCCTGCTGCCGCTGTGCCGCCAGAGCACGATTTCTGTTCTTATCCTGAAGCAAAGTTCTTAACCTGAAGCACTATTTCTGGGTTAGCGGAGTGTGTAACCTGAAGCGTATGTAACCTGAAGCGTATGTAACCCGAGGTACCACTGTATTTTTGTTTGGCTCATGTATCTTGTTTCTTTGAAATCGTCAGAATAGAAATATCATTTCAAAATGATGATGGGTAGGAACATATCAAGGAAGCTGCCTTATACCATCAGACCACTGATCCATGTAGCTTGGTATATCCAACTCTGAATGGCAGCGGCTACTTGAGAGTTTCAGGGAGGGGACATCCTTGTCCTACCTGGAGATGACAGAGATTAAACTTTCCCTTTAAACCTTTAACACTTTCAGCATATAAAGCAGATGTTCTACAACTGAGCTATAGTCTTTCTTTCTTCTGCTGAAATTGTCCCCCAGAGCTGATTCAGGATGAATGTCCTATTCTCTCTCTTTTTTAAAAAAATTAATATTTATTGATTTTCCAACGATTTAAACACTACAAAAACAATACAATACAATACAAAAACACTACATAACATTGACACATTAAACACATTAAACTAACAAAACAAAACAAAAACAGTTTAAAATAAATCAAACAATTTCAATATCTTATCTTTCATTCACTTATTTCCACGACCTCCTCACACCTCCCTTTTTGTATTCCACTTCTGTTAATTGTTTCAGCAATTCCTTTCCATCTTCCTCTGTTTTCTATCCTATAATTATCTTAACACATTCTAACCTTATTTTTCCTTTAATACTCTATTTATCTATTTATACTTATTTCCTTATAACATTTCTACTAAAGCCATATAGTTTCATTCCAACATTTTTCTAACATTCATTAATTTTACAATATTTCTGTAAATAGTCTTTAAACTTTTTCCAGTCTTCTTCCACCAATTCTTCTCCCTGGTCTCGGATTCTGCCAGTCATTTCCGCCAATTTCATATAGTCCATCAACTTCATCTGCCATTCTTCCCGGGTGGGTAAGTCTTGTGTCTTCCAATACTTCGCGATGAGTATTCTTGTTGCTGTTGTTGCACACATAAAAAAAATTCTATCCTTCTTTGGCACCAATTGGCCGACCATGCCCAGGAGAAAGGCCTCTGGTTTCTTCAGGAAGGTATATTTGAATACCTTTTTCATTTCATTATAAATCATCTCCCAGAATGTCTTAATCCTTGGGCATGTCCACCAAAGGTGAAAGAATGTACCTTCAGTCTCATTACATTTCCAACATTTATTGTCGGGCAAATGGTAAATTTTTGCAAGCTTGACTGGTGTCATGTACCACCTATAAATCATTTTCATTAAATTTTCTCTTAAGGCATTACATGCCGTGAATTTCATACCTGTGGTCCATAATTGTTCCCAGTCAGCCATCATTATATTATGTCCAACATCTTGTGCCCATTTAATCATAGCTGATTTCACCGTTTCATCCTGAGTGTTCCATTTCAACAGCAAGTTATACATTCTTGACAAATTCTTGATTTTTGGATCTAACAGTTCTGTTTCCAATTTTGATTTTTCCACCTGGAAACCAACTTTTTTGTCCAGATTGTATGCCTCCATTATTTGATAATAATGGAGCCAATCTTGCACTTTATTTTTCAATTTTTCAAAACTCTGCAATTTTAGCCTGTCTCCATCTTGTTCCATGAATGTCCTATTCTCATCTCCCCCTTGGCCGTGTTTCCCTCCCCATTCACAAGGCTGAGAAATTAAGCTCACAATTTCAGCTAGGGATTAATGTAAACGTTGAGATAAAGGTTGCCTACTGCATTAGATTCGTCTATCGGTGTTTAAATTTGTTCCTTCACAAAATAACATAGACACGAACCAACTGCGGAAGATGGAAACTGAAAGTGAATTTACAGACCTCCTCCAAACAAATGTACAGTTATCTGTCCCGCGATGTGGTTCGGGGGTTAGTGGGTTTGGGGAAGGTTCAATCTGAACTGGAGAAAAGTTGGCTGAACCAGGCATGTATTGGCTAGTGCCCATGTTAATACCAACACTCCTCTACACAGCGGAGCCTCAGAGCAGTTTTGCAAGTGTTTCGAAAATGTAAATGCATGTTTCGTTTTGGGTTGTTTTTTTTTAAAAAAAACCCAAGGTGGATAAGCAAATATGCACAAAGAAATGTGTTACTTAAAAAAGAACTTGCGGACAGCTCTCTCGATGCAGAAAGGCTAACACACCACTTCAGCAATGGGAAGAAACTTGCCAATTCAACTTTCATCTTGCTACTATGACTGCAAGCACAGGTTGAAGTAAAATGAACTCACTGTGACCACAAGGCTTCACAACAAGTCAGGCAGTGGGGGGGGGAGGGGGGAAAGGGGGGAGAGGTGTTCCTTAGACTCTCTGTCACTGATTATTTATAACTCAGAAATTCTTCTCCTGCCCACCCCCCCTGCTCTGAGTTGGTTCAAATGACCATTCACAAAAGGCAGATGATTCATACGGCCACCTTTACTCCAGCCTTGCTTTTTTTAAAAAAATATTTTTTATTAGGAAATTCAACAAGACATTTTATCAAAAAACATAAAATCCTTAATTCCCCCCTATTTCCCCCCTCCCTCTCCCCATAAAGCAACCCCCCCCCAGACTTCCCTCAGCTCCTCTCTCTGGTTTAACAACAACTGTTATTCTCTGTATGTTACAAAATTGTATAGATCCTTAATTTATCTAACTGGCTATTATCAATAAAAAGTTTGTTAGTGTTTATTCAAAACCTGCCAAGGAGTCCAGTTCATTTTGTTGTTTCTTTAAGTACTTTGTAAAAGCTTCCCATTCTTCCTTAAAATCACAGTTGTCCTTATCACGTAGTTTGTGTGTCAGTTTCGCAAATTCCACATAGTCCATCAGTTTCTCTTGCCACAGTTCTTTAGTCAGGATTTCTTCATTCTTCCATCCCTGAGCTATTAGGACTCTTGCCGCCGTTGTCGCATACATGAAAATGTTTTTCAGTTTCCTTGCTAATAAGGTGGAACAAAGCATTGCTTGTAGGCCTGTGATTCTTTAAAGGGGCTGTTTTCATTTTCATTTTATTTTTACAATATGCAGCTATTGAGGCTACAATTTGAAAGCGATCTCCAGTGTGAGGTGTGTGTGTGTGTGTGTTTGTGCATGCATGTGTGTGTGGGGGGGGAAATGCCTTCTCTACTCTAACCTCTTGTGCAATTTTCCTGCCGAATATCCTCCTCCTGCTGTTTTTACTCCCCAGCCCCATAAGAGGGGGGTGGGGGAATATACAGGATCCCATATCCATTCCCCACTGGATTGGTGTGGTTGTGGGGGCAGCTTGGAAGGATTTTCCTTGGGGAAACAACCTGAGGGGAAAGGTTACAAAACCTCTCCTTCCTGCCCTCTCCTTCCAAACTCCTTCTAGGGGCTGCATTTCCAGAAAACAACAACAAGGACGCCTAAAAAGAATCACCAAGCTACACAGAACATGCAGTTCCGTCCTAAGACTTCAAATGTCATTGCTAGCTCACCTGACCACATATACCTAGGTTAGTCATTTGTGGCTAACGGATGAAAGGGAAAAAATAAGTAACTTTCTTCCAGGTTACAAAAGTGTCTTGTCTGGCTTTCCAGAGGTCTGTTCATATTTGCCATGATCAACCTGGTGTGCAGCTATTGACAACTCTGCTTATTATCACCATCATCATATCTAACCCGGATCTCTCTTTCCTTGGAAGATCACTAGCACTCACACTTGCTTCCGTCAGGAACCTTGGTTTTGGGATTCACACCAGTTTAATGCTTTGAATTTGCTTTGACTTTCAGCTTTGATTCATTCACTTCTGTTAAAATCAAAGCAGGGCATTTTTTTCGCTGCTCTCTGGTCCCAACGGCAAACACCTGACCACAACCGCAGGTTCCGTAAACATCTTACATAAATCCCCGGATTCATAAACACCGATTCGCAAATAATGAAGCGACAGTAGTTTCTGCAACATAAAGTTTTGACAGGGAAATGCTCTTCCCCCTTGCCTCGCCAAACTTAGCCCCCTTCCATCCAAACTGACCGAAGGAGGGCAAGTCTCAGGAGGATGAGGGCAAAGAGGAGAAATATCATATCACCACATGTGGCCATGGCTATCCCAGGTGACGCAAAGGTAGGGATGGAGGGGGCAGTTTGGCTCAGTTAATATTTTAAAGGTGAACCTACCTAATTTGCACTCTCTGAAACATTGCATGAACCAAAATACAGCAATCCTTTGACATCCACATGCAAATTTTTGAATTTTGCAATGTTGTTCTCCAGCAAAGTAATGTGTTCAGAAATGAGTGTACTAGGTATAGTGGTACCTCGGGTGAAGTACTTAATTCGTTCTGGAGGTCCGTACTTAACCTGAAACTGTTCTTAAC